TCACTTAGCACTATTATTTTCAATGAAAATTTCGTGACGAACCAACATCAGCTATAGATCGTTGAGAACCATGGAGCATTGAACATGCGGACATGCGAGCACATCTCAGTTGGAAACTCTTCAGCAGTGTGCACCCACGACTGCTCTATGGATTGAACCCTGGACATTCAGCTCCTTGGCCACTCAGCCACTTGGGAGAGAATTCACCGATCTGTGAATTCTAACTTTACTAATATTCTCACATTCCTTTATTTATCTTCTTATTCGCCATAGTTCATACTCAATCTTCAGACACTCAGATTAGCTTTGTGCTTGTTGGTACTCACCAGTCAGTAAGGCGTATCTGCAACGTTGAAGAAACTCATGTCATGTATCTAGTCTTTTGTTTGGTTTAGACTGAGTACTGTTAGTCAATCATCTAATAACAAAAATTCCAAGTGAACCATGATGGCGAACCATCTAGAATGGTGGTCACATTACAAACTTGGTTGATAGAATTCCGTCTGCAGTAAACAAAGGACTAGACACATGACACTAGTTAGTCTCCGATCAAAGTGTTAGTCGTCGCGTGATCATTAAATATCCTCCATATAGCATTTATTGACACTTCTAGAGGGTGCCACTTTAACTGCTTTTTACATCGACCATTTTGTACTGAATGGTGCAGCCCTCTTCAATATTCTGCAGAACAATTCACCAACGTACAATTTTTAAAAGTGGTAGCTTCTTCTTCTTTCGAAAACTGAAACTATCTATTTAATATTTACAGTAAACAAACAGCTGCAAGGTTAATGTAAGATCCCCCCTGAATTCAAAGGCGACTGCGTAATGACACACTTAGAATGACAGACATGTATAATAAGTCACTGTTTTGAACAGCTAGGGAACATATTCATAAGATTCGTAATCAGATACTAGGCAAAGAATAGAGTCTGAAGCGACAGATACTGGATTTGTGTCTCATACGGCAAATCATCACTCCTTTGGGGTCGCAGGTACATCCATCCAGATAATGAGTCCCATATGGGACAAAACACACATTGTGAATTCCACTCATGGTCAATACTCAACAAATTACTCTTTAGTAATAACTCTTATTCATAAAATCATTTGGGTTTTTTGACAATCATGTAGTGATGAGAACATTAAGACTGTGATAAATGCCTATCACACTTGATTTGATAAATGCCATAGTTGACCAAGTGGCTTCATTTCACAATTATTTTTTTAAAAATGCTTTAGCCTACATATTTTGCTGATACACCCCCGTATTTTTAATGTCACTTGATACAACAACAAGTTTCATTGTATGTAAGTAATTAGTGAATTGTCATTACATCAATTTCTATCCAGACAGTAAAATTAATTCATATTGAGTACACTTGCTAATATATAGTTGTATAAGATGGATAGCAATAACATTAAATTCCGTATATTCACACTGATCAACAATTAATTATTCTGTTTTCTAACGAAGTAAGGTGATTTAAGGCTTTCATTTCACTTTACCAAAGTTAATTAACAAATTACTTTTATTTTTTACAAGAAGTAACAGTTGAAAGCGGATAAAAAAACTGAGTGAACGGAAGAAACTCAAGTCAGCACAGTCTCCGAGTGAGGTACTCTGAGCTCTACTAACCAGTTGGCAAGATCCAGTTTCTGTGCAGTTCCTAATTTTCTTATGACTGATTATTATTATCATTCCCTTAGATTCCCATTGGAACATCCTTATATCTGAAGTCCTCTTTAACTGCCTCTACGATTACCCATTTACTTTCATCTTCTCTTCATGCGATCTCCACATCCTGGATCCAAGATTAGCTTGTCATTTACAATTCCAGTTCCACTCCAGCGATGGCCACTCAAAGATTTCCTAAACGTAGGTCCAATCCCTTGGGCAGATTTATTGAACAGTGGGTTGTGGACGGTTTTTTTTGTTAGAGTTCCTTGCTAGTAGTCTTTCCTGGCCTGCAATCCAATCATCAGTATTTAGTGAGGACAGCTGTTGTTAAAAGTCTCTGGCCTTTTGGAAATTTTTTTCATGATGAGTGCGTCAAGTCTCTGAACTAAACAGAAGCACTAGCTGAATTGACAGTATTGCTATTTTTATTTATGCTGACTGCAGCTGATTTCAGAGTAATGAATATCTGGGCCTGCCTTTGACGTCCTCATCCGTTTTAAGCACAGAAGGTTTGACTTAATAATCACTAGTTGGTGGACTAGACTAATTTCACTATACTCATTAGATGCTATAATTAATGTTAATTAGCAAAATATATACACACACTGTGCAGCAATTTTGAATTAAAATATAATATTTTGGTTCTGATGTACTCTCCGAGGTTAATTTCATGAACTGATATGGGTAGAAACGACTTTATGCCTTTCATTACTAAATAAGATTCATTCAGTAAATAGTGAATTCACTAAAATGTTTTGATAGAGCTGTTTGAATAGTGGTGTTCAATATTTCCAAATTTCTGTTCTACTTCAATACACTTCCGAATAATCGCCCCAGTGTCTGTTTCACCCCACCACAATTAACTCTAACTTAATCTGAATTTAAGGTGTTTGTTGTTTTTTATCTAAATGAATCCTCGTTTGTTTAGCATAGAATACCTCAGGAGAAATTTTCAACCAAGTATTAGGTAGTTTATAGTTTAATCAGTTGATTTTCAATAAATATAATAAATAGGTACCATATTACTTTGTTTATTTACTATATCACAAAGTGAAACAGTATTATTTACTGGATGACGTTTCGAACAAAATTTATTGTTCATAATCATATCAAATTGTAATCACACGACTTTGACACTTGAGTTTTATAGCTTTCTTTGTTCTCTCCTATTTGTCGTAGGGGGAGTAGAATTTTCCATATATCGGGGACAGGTGATGAATCATTCCTATTACATGTATTTGTAGTTGATTCGATAAACAAAGCTTCTGTTATCAATCTCTCCCTATACTCTGTGACATTAGATTTTAAAACTGTCATCCTATCCCATCCTATTGTATGGTTGTGTGTGTAGCTGAACTATTCTCTAGATTTCTTATCTTATTTGGATCAGCCAATCTAGATTTTGCTAAGTTTTTGTGTTCAGCTAGTCTGACGGCCCCTGTTCTACTAGTTTCACCTATGTATTTTGACGTGAAAATCATTGCAGGGTATTAGATAAATTAAATTGTTTAGTTTTAAAGGCTCCACAGGATTGATCCTTTAACCGACAAAGCTTGTTTTAATTGAGTTTGTGGGTTTGAATGCCTTTTTTTATTCCCGCCTTGTTAAGAATTCTGCATAAGGCTTCCGAGGTTCCTTCCTTGTATGGAATTGCTGATGATGATTTAGATTCCCTATTATTGGTGTCGTCATTGATATTATTATTATTATCATTATTATTGTTATTATCACTATCGCTACTATCATTATTTATTTTATTTTTACATTTCCTTACATATTTCCTGACTAATTTATCCGGGTAATTATTAAGTTTCAAGGCTTCTTTTATATGTATCAGTTCCTGTTTTAGATTTTCTTTGGTACTACTTAATTTTTGTGCTCTGTCATTTAAACATTTCACCAATCCTATTTTTACTGACATAGGATGGGATGATCGGAAGTCCAAATATCTGTTTGAATGTGTGGGTTTCCTGTAAACACTAGTGTTTAACTTCCCATCTTCTTTCCTCTTTACGTTGCAATCTAACATTGGGAGCTCCCCTTCCTGATTTTCCAATTCATAAGTGAATTGAATTGCTTCAACCTTCAAGTTGATGTGTTCGAAAAATCTATCCACATCTCGTGTTCTAAGCACAGTGAATGTGTCATCTACATACCTCCACCATACTTTTGGGGTGGGGTGAACGTTTCAATCGCTATGCTTCCCACCTATCCATGAATATATCTGCTACAACTGGGGATATTGGTGATTCCATGGCAACATATCAGACCGGAAATTGAGCAATTAAAACAAAAGCTAAAAGAAATAGTTACCAATGTAGATTATGAACTCGAACTTAGGACAAAAGTGCCACGCGAGGATGTAATGATGGAAGTACAACTATGCCTGACTTCCATAGTATTTAAATTTCAAGGGAAAATATACAAACAAACTGAGGGAATTGCCATGGGATCACCAATATCCCGGGAATGGCGTCCTCTGTGAACACATTTGAATTTCTCTATCCCAGCATTAGTTGCTAATTTTTTTCGAAATTATGTTTTTCAAAGAATGTTTTGGCAACTTCAGACGCCTACAGCCTTTTATCTCATAAATGATGCTTTTTGTTTTCAGTAGTGAACTATCTCTGATTCTTCGTAAAACTTCTGCTGATATTTGCATGTCGCTATATGCTACTGATTTATTGAGATGAGCAGTTCTATACCACTCATACCAATCAGTAGTGTTTGCTAGCCCAGTCATCGAAGTGATACAAATACCGAAAGGCTATTTCACTCGTCTAGAGCCCAGATCATCATTGGTCTATCCAGTTTGGCTCAGCTAAGGGAACGAAATCAGTGTGAACCACTGTTGGCTGATGTAAGCGATATATAATTCCCTATCTCAATCAATCAGTGGTATATAGCATCATGAATTTATGCTTGCTTGGAGGAGATCATGCGAAGAAGAGATGAAAGCATGTGGGCAGACATGGAGCCAGGTGAAAACTCTAGCAGAGAACCGAACGCAATGGAGACGCATGGCTGAAGCCCTATGTTCCTCTAGGAATTAAAGGAAATAATAATATAATATAATAATAATTCTTGGTAGGTCGTTCAGAACATGAATTTTGAAATCACCACTCTTGGACGTTGAACAAATCACTTGGTTACTTCAATAGAGCCAGAGTCTACGTGATAACCTAGTGGTGTAAACCAATTGATATATCACTTAGTCAGTAATTAAATTATTCTTTTTATAGACTCAGCCAAAATTTAGTATCACTTGCAAATAATAAATCCAGTTGATTTAGTGTATAAATATTTTTCTTCTTTTCAGGGCATTTTCATAGCAAATATAGTTTCCTATGAAACACAACCTGTCTCCGTGCTGGGTGTTGTTTATGAACCAACAACTTGGGTTATAGCATTATCATGGGCTATAGTTTTTTCATCGCCAATATTTATCCCGATATTAATGATTTATCAATTACTTAGAGCAAAAGGAACGTTTGTTGAAGTGAGTTAGTTGTAGAGTTTTAAATGTCAGTGTTAATACTTTTATGCTCAAGCGTTCTCTTTATTACGAATCTGCCTTTTTTTGTTTGGACAATTTTCCAGTTGTTTGATACATGTTTGAATGTATATCACGTTAGTTTATAATGCCACAATACTCATCGAATAAGGTATTTCCTAAAACATCTTGAAGTTTATCTCAACTGCCTCTCGATTAAGAAAAGAGATAGTTCCCCACAGCTAATGTCTACACAGTTCAGTTTTGTCTTGCCTGAAGAAAAATAAAGATTATTAAGCTTCATATTGTATTTTGATAAATCGCAGTCAAGATAAAGCCATGTGTGAAGAAAGGTGAGTATAGATGTACATTCAAATTATACGATAAACTTGAAAACATTTGTACATCGTGGGTTGTTGTTGACTGTTCTAATTACAGTGTCGTCAATTTGCTATGTTAAGTTAAAATTAACAGTGAACCAATTGAGCAAGTGAACGATAATATCAACATAGATGGATATGCTAGTCTGCTTAAACTGCTGGGCTACCAGAATCCCTATCCATCAAAATGCTTGTAACCTTCCACATTGCCTATTGTTTGAATCATTTCATTGTATGAAATGACCACTACATGGACTCGTGTACATATTTAATTAGCTTATAACAAAAGTCGAAGACTTGCAGGCGAAAACCAACAAACTGTCTGAAGAAGCAGTCAGAGAAATCAAGACTGCAGGTGAACATAGAAAAGATGGAGGTGATGTAGATAACCAAACAACAGCAACAGCATTAACAACCAGCACCAGTCACCATCAACAGGAGAGATTTGACAGAGGTCACTGCGTTCACTTATCTGGCCGGAAAACACGGTTTCAACTACAGGTACACGGCACGGATGAAGATGTCAAAGCTGGCAACCAGCCATAATCGGAAAGGGGAGGCAAGATACGCCTTCATCAATCTGAAACCAGTTTGGAAATATTCTGCACTAACTCAGCACAAACAACAAGATTCGGATTTTCAACACTAAAGTCAAATCGGTCCTTCTGTACGTGTCAGAAACCTGGCGTGTCACAAACAGCATTCCCAAGCTACACCAGCAGGCCTTTATCAAAAGCTCCCTTCACTGGCTGCATGATGACGACCAAATGGCAGACCAGAAAGAATAAGAAACAAGAAACTCTGCAGTGCAACAAACCAACCAAGAGTCAATGGCGCAAAAAATATGTTGGAGAAAATGGAGATAGATTGGGCATACATTCAGGAGGCCATCGAATGACATCTCGCTCAATGCAGGTAATCACTCGAGTGGAATTACAGTGGAAAGCAATGAGTGGGTCGTCACTAACAGAGTGACATGGAGGACATCGTGTGAGTTGGAGGGGATGAGAGATAATAGGCAGTTGTGTAGCTAATCACAAAATAACTTCAATCAGAGTGCCACTGAAAACCAGCCACTGCGTGACAGCGTTTTCCTCTCTGGTTAGGACTCTTCGGTAGTAAGTATTTATGATCCATCAGAGATCAAACCCAGGAATTCCAAGATACCAGGGTAGGTTGTTTATCATTCAGCCACTTGGACGGAATCCAATGGCCGATGAATTCGAACTTCTGCCAATTAGCAATATATAGCACGACCACCAGTAATTTGTTCTCAAACCCGATTTAGTGGACTACAAAAGATAGCAACCTCCCCCTAGGACCTCAGGCAACATCATCCTGTAGCCAGTCAATAGGAAGCACTAAGTTTTCTAATATCTTCGAACGTCTGAACATTATTAATCTCTAATATGCTAATGTTTCTCTGAAGTTTAACAACTATACACGAACTAAAATTCACTATGTGACAAATTAATTGCAACTTTGAACTTCTTAACACAGAAAAGGATTCAGAAACATAGATACGTAAATTTTTCAACAGTTACATTTTCAGTTTCTTTTACAAATTCCTAAACGCCATTAAAAATTAATAGCTGGTTATTTTTCGATGCACATTTGATAATTGATGGTAGTTAGGATACACCGGTGCAAGCACCATAATTTTCTCCTACAATGTGATATACCGGTCATAGCATCATGAAAATAAGGAACAGTTCATGAAGTTCATTAACTTAAAAAGTCCACCATTGCTTGTCTGACCCACACAGTGAACTGTAAACTACCTGATTGAAATTACTAATCATATGACAAGGTAGTAGACGCATATTATATATATTATTATTGTTTCCTTTAGTTCGTAAAGGAATATAGGGTTTCAACCGCACAGCTTCACTGCCATCGGTTCTCTGTCAACGTATTCACCTGGCTCCACATCTGCCACATTCTTTCACCTCCTCTTCACATGAACTCCTCCATGTCATCCTAGCACTGACGACCAACTCGTGGCTTCCCATTCGGGTTCACTCGAGGGCCTGTCGTGTGATATCACTTGATGGTTTTCTCAGAGTATGCCCAATGCACCTGCATTTTGCCCTGCATATTTGTTGCACAATCGTTTCCTGCTGGGCTGGTTCGCTCCCAGAGATTCCTCCCAATTGCTACTCTTTTCTGGACGGCCATCTGATCTTGAGCAAAGTACTGAGTGAAGAGAGCTGTTAATGAAGGTATGTAGTTCGTTCAAAGGGGCCTTCGTGACTCACCAAGTCTCTGATCTGCATAGTAACACTGACTTCACATTGGAGTTGAAAATCCGGATCTTATTATTCATAATGAGTGCTGTTGATCTCCACACAAACTTGAGAGTAGCGAAATCTTGCCTTACTTTCCCAATCCTAGCTTTGATATCCTCTCCAGTCCGTTCAGTAGTTGAAGCGATGCTTTCCAGGTAGGTAGGTACAGGGGGTTGCTGTTTTCGAATTTCTCCTATGTATGCTGATTGTTGTCTGCTGTTGTTGCTGTTGCTTTTGGCCAAGAATCTTCATCACCTACCTCTGTTTTCTCTATGTTCGCCTGAAGGAAGTCCTATCTTTGATGCTTCTTCTGCCAAATTGTTGCATTTCACTCGCTTATCTTCCAATATGTGGAAAATCAGACATATATCATCGGCAAAGTCCAGATCCTCAAAGTCTTTTGTGTGGGTCAATTTATGCCTGCTTCCTCTGTGCCCACCGCTGTCTGTCACATTATCCAGTCTACCGCAATCGAGAAAATCACTGGAGATAGTAGGCAGCCACCTTGTCTTACGTTCGTCTTCATTTCGAAGGATTCCGTGAGTGTTCCGTTGTAAACTACTTGGCATGCAGCATTGTCGTACAGCTGTTGGATGACATGTATAATTGTTAGTGGCACCCCGTAGTAGCGAAGTAGTTGCCAAATTACCTCTCGATAGACGCTGTCGAAGGCGTTTTCAAAGTCAATGAAGTTGAGATAGAGAGCTGATTGACTGCCATTCCAAGCTCTGCTCAATGATGATCCGCAGTATTGCGATCTGATCAATGCATGACCTTTTTCTCCTGCATCCAGTCTGTTCCGGTCGAAGTTTTTCATTCAGGGCTTGTTTGATTCCCTCCAGTATGATGCGGCTTAGTATTATAGTAGATGTGCTCACTACATATCATTTTTATCTTTTCTTCGCCAGTCAACTAGAACAAAAGGCTTTAAGCTTGACCTTTGAAGTTTCACTAGCGAAGGCGTGGGTGGACTTGCTAGCCTAATGCCTAATCTCCTCTCTTTATCAGGTTTACTATCAGCTAAGCAAGGTTTTGGAGCACGTCAACTGGGAATCAAAAGTGAATGATATTGAATGGTTGACGAACATCCTCACGACTAACCACTTACGGACATATCAATCTAAATATCTTCTTATATCTAAAAATTTTATTTTCTCAAGTTATCTTGAATCATAACTTGTTCATATTTAGTTCAATTTACATCTTCCGATTGATTGATTGAACCAAAGTGCTCAGTCTCAGGTTGGTATGTCGGCTGCTTGTGCAGATGCCTCGACGCTGTCTGGTCATGTAATTTGAAGCCAATTGGTGGATGATGACTATCAGTGGAATCTAGGATGCACATTTCGTTCAATTCGGGACTCGTCATCGGGATGTACCTGCACTCCCTAGTGAGTGTCACTGCTCCATTTAATCGACGGGAAATATTTAAATTGAATTAAATAACTAATAAGACCCGTCGCATAAGAAGTGGCTCTCATAGTCCAAGTGGTCTAGTGGATATGTCTTTGGTGTGCACTGGGTTCAAGCCTTGGTGGGGACACCATCATTCACTGGGGAATGTCTGTACATCCGGATCAAATTCGCATCCTGGATTTCATTGCTAGTTGTCTTCTTGTTCATATGAATGTAATTCCATTTTGTACTGCTTTCCCTTCCGAAATGTGATAACTTCAAATCAAAACTAGCCTGTCTCTTCGTAATTAGGTCTTTCATATGTCTACATTTCGAGTTTAAAACAAAAAGTCATGTTAAAGATTTCTTTCACTCTGTTTCTTTTCGTCTTAACAGAGACTACGCTATCTTACAACACCTGAAGATAAACCTACCTACTGGGATCAACAAATTGAAATTAACGACGATGGTGAATATGTACCACAGAATAAAAAACAAAATCAACAATCAGTAGAAGAATCTTAGTATATATGTGATACTCATAATCGCTAACTTATTATTCCTTTATTCCTTAAAACAAAAAGTGTTCATTAAAATCTTACTAATCATCTCATATGCATATATAAACTATTTCAATCTTCGAGATTCATGTTATCATGAGTATACGAATAACATTTATAAACATACATGTGTATTATTTTCAAATGTCTTCTTACATTTCGACTTAAGTGTGTTACTTGAGGGTCCAGAAAAAGAAGATGAAGAAGAAGAACCATGACAGCAACAACAACGACAAAAACCTCATTACTTATAAATACTTATCAGTACAGTGTTGTTCAAATTTCATATTTCTCAAAAATAATAATCCTTTAAACTACTTTACTTGCCTCAAATTTCTCTACTCTGATAAAATTCATGAATATAAGCATCACTGCCTCTGGTTCTTTGTATCAATAGTCAGTCACATATACATATATATACCTGCTTATCTTACACTTTCCTTATCCCTTCTATTCTTCATTCTCTTCACTTTAACATACAACTTTTATGTTAGCCAATGTGAAACGGAACATTTTGTGAAGAAAAGGTCGACTAGGATTCTTACTATCATTATTATTATGATTATTATTATTACTATATATACTTAAAAAGACAGAAATTGCATTTGACTTAGAATGTTAAATGAAGTAAAGGAAACTGTCAGAAATCATAGTGCATAGATATCATTTTCGTGTCTATGCACAACCTAATTACAAGTTCAAATAAGTTTTTTGGCTTCCATGGGTTTTCGTTCTATATATATATATACATATTTATATAAATATATCGCAACAAACTACTTAAATCTATTTAATGCATATTTATATTTATTCTTAATTATATATATAAAATATATCTATCATCAGTACATAGAATTTGAAAATACATCTGACAAATACAAACCTTTATTTTTTTTCCCCATAAATTCCATACTACCTTTTTGTTAGTTTCTTTTGTTCAACTAGGTGAACTTGTTATTTACAGTAATATAAAGGAGACAATGCATATTCTGACGATATTTATGCAGTTAGATGTATTGAAGTATGAGTGAAATATGCATAAAACAAAAATTTGAATAAAGCAAGAATAACAGTGGTTTGCGCAGAATAATATGGTAACGTCATTGTCTATTTCCTCAGCTTCTCATCAGCTGCTTACAGTCTGAGTAAACTGTTATTAAGTCTATGTACAGAAACAATTTCAACATAGATAAAGCAATAAGAAGACGTAATTTGTCTGAATCGTGTAATGTATTTGCGCAACACATTTCGAACAATCTGATCACACACGGACTTGTCATAGGAATATATATGAAATTAATAAAGAGATAAGAGGTGAGAAAATAGACTTAGGTCAAGTTAAAAGGACATATTCAGGGTCAAAATAACAATGAAGACCACTAAACCAAATAGCAGAGGTAATTGTACAACTGCTATGGTATCAAAACAAAATTTACCAAGGAAGGTTTAATGTGATGACGAATTGTTTTTGAACGCATAAAGGTGGCTTAAACTTTCTAATTGCCAGCTAGGGCTTCCACAAACTTTAGGATACGCCCCAAACACGTTTTATAGATAGGTTTGAAAGATCTGTTAACGTCAATTTTATGTCCTTTCTCTATAATATGTTTCGCAATAGAAGAGCTAGGTCTCCTGTTCTCACCGTTAATAGGTTCTGAAGATTCCATTTGTTTCTGGAGCCATTTAGCAATATGCTATGAAGCCCTTACTTGCAGAGATCGATGAGTCCTCCCTATGTATTTGTGTCCACACGTACATTCAAATTGGTAAATACAGTGGGATGTGACGTCATTTTTCGCATGTTCGAAGGGTTTAGATAAATATATTGGCTTTACATTCTCTATTATTATGGTATTGGCTGCATAAAAAGTCTTTTTGACAGCAGCGTTCAGTCTTTGTCTAGTTATCAAGCTGCTTTGATGCCCCACATAGGGTAGCTTGATGTACACGTCTTTCTTAGGGGCGAGTTGTAGAATGGGTCTTGGTGATCTGACTACCTTTTATCTCCTGATGAACTTGTCTGGATAATTGTTATCAACCAGAATCTGTGTCAACTTTCTCTCTTCTTCATCAAGTATGTCTTCAGTGCATATTTGTTGGATTTTACTGAAGCGGCACGTTACTAAGGCTCTTTTGTACCGAACAGGGCAGAAACTCTGGTACTGGTCCTGTCCAGGTAGGTTTTCTATGAATAGATCTTTTTATTGACCCATCAAGCCGTCGACTAAGTAATATGTCTAGGAAAGATAAACAATTATCTTCCTCTTTTACAGATGTAAGTGATATGCTATTTTGGACTTCATTCATTCGATTTAAAATTGAGGTGGCAGAACAAGACTTATCACTGATGATTACAATATCATCTACATACCTTCTATAAATTGGCACATTTTCGATTAAATCCTCCGATAAATTCTCAATGTACGACATATAAATATCTGCTAAAAGGCGCCCTAACGGACTTCCCATAGCAACACCATCAACTTGGCGGAAACAATTGCCTTCAAATGTAAACCTAACATTGTTAGTACATAGAAGTAATAAATCCCTTAAATAAGATACAGGGAACAGGATGAAAAAAATGTTTGTGGAAATATAATCACACAAAATGTCAACTGTTTTGAGCAAAGGCACATTAGTCAATAACGAGTTTACATCGAAAGAGTACATATTCTTATTCATAATATTAATATTACTATCGTCAAGAAAATCAACCAATTCAAATGTATCTTTTAACACATACTTACAGAATTGTGTTTTGACTGGATGCAATAATTATACTAACCACTTAGCAAGTTTTTGTCTTGGAGATTTGCACATTGACAATATAGGACGTAGAGGATTATTGGGTTTATGTATTTTTGGCAAGGCATACATATGCGGGAATTCACATTCGGATGGTTTTAATGAGTCAAATTTATCTTAACTTATAGCATTTAGGCCCTGAAGCTTCAGTAGATTAGCTGTCACTGTGCCCTGCAACAACTGAATATCTTCTGAGGTGGGATCAGATTGTTCGAAATGTGTTGCGCAAATACATTACACGATTCAGACAAATTACGTCTTCTTATTGCTTTATCTAAATTCATAAAGGGAACTAACTGTTTTAATTGTTTTAAATTTCAACATACTTGCAAATTTTACATCATGTCAGTTGAAAGGAGGTTCTGGACTTAGTAAATAGAGTTCAGAAAATTACGCTTATATAGCTTTTGCACAGGGAGTTCAAGTTTAAACAGAGTAAATGTATGCATACAATGGTAAAGGAGTTACGTAATAAAGATGAGAGATGCGTAAGATGATGAGTAACTAATAAATTGGGTGACAATGTACCAAGTTCAACTCAAATCATAGAAACAAGGGACAAGCGAAATTGCACTATGGCAAAGAAGGGGAGTGAGTTTAAAGCCAAAGATTATGTGACGAAGTGAAAGAGAGGATAAAGACATTCAGCTACCAGGTTGGCAAGCAAAGACTGATTGATAGCTGCTCCTTTCTGAACATATAAATCGTGTTTCAGATGATTAATGTAGATTGTTTCGGCATGCCTGAGTAGAACTGAACTATGTCGTCTATTGGTAATTCCAAAGGATTTCGCGATTTCCACCTCATGACCCGTATCAAAGAGATGTCTGGTAACAGCACTATTATAGAGTTTGTTCCTTTGAGACCTAGGAATTTCAGTACATGTTTTTCCTTGCCCTGGTAATTGGATGTTTTTATTCTATCTTTCACTTGATATAGTGTAATTTCGCTTGTCTCTTGTTTCTATGATTTGAGTTGAACTCAATGCATTGTCACCCAATTTATTAGTTACTCATCATCTTACGCATCTCTCATCTTTATTACGTAACTCCTTTACCATTGTATGCATACATTTACTTTGTTTGAGCTTGGTTACGTTGTGCAAAACTATATAAGCGTAATTTTCTGAGCATTGTTAACTACGTCCACAACCTCCTGTCAACTGACATCATGTAAAATTTGCAAGTATGTTGAAATTGTTTGTGTACATAAACTTAATAACAGTTTACTTAAGCTGTAAGCACTTGATGGGAAGCCAACGAAATAGACAATGATGTTACCATATTATTCTGCGCAAATCACTGTTATTCTTGCATTATACAAATTCATCAAGAGGAATAAATGCATGAAATAAAAAAATGTAACTTTTTATTTCTGAATGTAATTTCAGAATACGATTTGAACTCCAACTTGTACATCCCGTCACTTGATCTCAGTTTTCAAGTTTGAGAATTTCATATCGATTGAGAAGGTTTATTCAGTCAAAGAATTATTGAAGCATCAAATAACACTGGACAGCTGTTTCTCTCGGCTTGAAACTCTTCACCGTTATCCGACCTATAGCTCCACACTGATGATCTTACCCAGTTCATTCAGGTTAGTAAACGAGCCAAGCGACCATTAAGCAAGTGAGTTTACAATCCGATGGCGATATTTAGTGCTACCTACCACCAGTCAGTATCAGCTACAAGTATTTGTTTTCACAACTGCCTTGTTGGAACCTACTGGTCAGAACTTCTCACTAGGACTGTAGTCAACATCCTCGTTTAGTTGCTAAGCACCAGATTTATTTTCAGACATTTGGTTAAACTCACTTAGAACACGATTCGAACTTTTGTAAAATCTTGTCATCAATGGGATCCACTAAGTCAGGTGTAAGAGATTACTCGACGATGACAGTGGCTGAATATTTTGCTTCATAACAGGTAGTGACAGAAACTGGAATTCACGGGTCATTGAATTCCATCTCAGTAGCTAAATACACAATGATATTATCTGATTATCTGTGATAAAACTATTCAAAACGATCCAGTACCTTTCCGAATGTAAATAACTGTTGGGTATTACATCAGCAAATCAGAAATAATGAAAAATGGCGGGTTCATCTGTCGACCAACTGACCAGTCGAACTGGCGGATAAACAAATTAGACGAAAATACCGTACTACTGACAGCTGAGTATATACAAATGTGCGACGTAATAGGGCAATCTTATTCCCTCTGGGAACAATAAAGCTGGTAATAAGACATTACCAGTGCCCATTCAAATGAAAAGATTAGTATTATTACTACAGAAATAGATCTGTTGCAAATGGGACTTAATTTATCCCAGTAGATAGACAATAGTGGTTCATTGTGTGAAATGTCCAAGAAACAAATTAATCTTGCCTTATATGCCACCAAAGTGGTCAAGCTTAACACATATGCTGCTCACCTTAGACTTTAAGATGAATTCCTGAATTGTAGTAGACTAGTCTTGAATTTCCCTCCAAGTAAATATACATATGTATAAGCCAGCTTCAAAAATACGGAGTGCAATGCTGAAAACAATTATAGACTTCATAAAGTAGTTATACAGTGATAACATATACAAATTAGCTAATATAACATAGCTCATCGAAGCATTTGAAGCGAAGGCACAACTAAGATAACGCTGCCTACTATAACCGATCGCATTCCTGACTGTTATGAACTGGATTATGCGTTATTATTATTATTTCCTTTAGTTCCTAGAGGAACGTAGGGCTTCAGCCATGCATCTCCATTGCGTTCGGTTCTCTGCTAGAGTTTTCACCTGGCTCCAAGTCTGCCCACATGCTTTCATCTCCTCTTCACATGATCTCCTCCAGGTCACCCTTGGACGACCAACTCGTCGTTTCCCTTTCGGGTTCCACTCGAGCAATGGCTTGTCTAGTGATGTCACTTGATGGTTTCCTCAGAGTGTGGCCAATCCATCTCCATTTCTTCCTGCCTATTTGTTTCACAATCGGTTCCTGGTTGGTTCGCTCCCAGAGATCTTTGTTGCTGATCCTTTCCGGCCATCTGATCTTGAGTATTGAGCGAAGACATCTGTTAATGAAGGTCTGTAGCTTGTTTGAGGTGCTTTTTGTGACACGCCAAGTCTCTGATCCGTATAGTAGTACTGACTTCACATTGGAGTTGAAAATCCCGATCTTATTTTTGACGCTGAATGATGTTGACCTCCACACAGACTTGAGAGTAATGGAAGCTTGCCTTGCTTTCCCGATCCTTGCTTTGATATCCTCGTCAGTTCCGCCTGTAGTTGATTATGCGTTAGCAGGTGGGAATGACCTCACAAATGATTCATATCTTATGTCACACAAACTACAAGATCTACAGGTGAAAACCAAAAGCCGGAAGAAGAAACACCAAAGACAGGATTTCAAGTAACCATAGAGAAAACAGCAGTGAGGAGGATAACCAAACACTATCGATGGAATAAATTTGAAAGAGGTCAATTCCTTCTTTTCTCTAGGAAGAATCATTTCCACTACAGCCAGTCAGCATGAGTGAGGATGTCAAAACTAGAAATGGAAGTGCTAGACAGACATTTATCACTCTGAAATCAGTGTAGAAATCCTCTGCACATAGCAGAAAGAACAGAAATTCGGATTTTCAAGACCAATGTTAAGTCAGTCACTTCTTCTATTTTTAGTCAGAAACTTGGTGCCAAAGTCACGAAAAGCATTTCTAACGGTCCATTGCATATTTGCTTCAACCGCTGCCTTTGCTCCATATCAAAGAACAAATAACCGGATAGCAAGAATTAGCAACAAGAAACTGTTGGTAGGAACTAACTAAAAGCCTATTGCTCAACAAATCTACCTAAGAAAATGGAGATGGATCGGACACATGATGAGTAGACCGTTGAGTAATATCTCGTGCCAGGTGATCACTAGAGTGGAACTCCAATGGGAAACGACAAATGAGTCGTCTGAGGGTAAGATCGAGGAAACTGTGTGAGGAGGAGATGACAGCCTACGGTCAACCATGGAAGCCGCCGACGAGGACCCCAGAGAAGTGGAAAAATTGCAGATGTTTTTACACTCTGAATCCAAAGGAATAACAAAAATTATGTATGCTGCCAGATATGATAGGTAAAATTACTAATGTTGAATAATATTCTTCCACTCTGAAAAAGCCATGATGCCTAAGAACATCACTACGTAGATCTACATTAAGAAGACACCTCATAAGTATTTTACCCTACTGATATATATTCACAAACCATTTTGAACTATAACTTTGAATAATATCCTTCGAATAGCCTCACTTACTGTTGGTTAAACGCAATAAGTTATCATGCACATATATATATAAGATGTTTATTATAACTTTTATTTTTTGTCTTAATGAAACACTTTTTCAGTGATAACCTAACACTTGAAGTACAATTTAGATTACACATAGAACCAAAATAGGTGTAAACCAATCAAAATCATGGTACAATAAAGACTGTTTACTATCTCATTAAAATAATAATAATAATAACAGCTAGATAATAAATAAATAGTGAAAAGGAGAAGGGAGAAAACACAGACAAAATGAACAACAATAATTTGTCATTCAAATAATAATTAAATGATGTATTATTAATAATTTCTTCTTTTACATTTAACTCCATAACTGATTACTCTTCCATCATCATTCAACTGCGGTATACGCTTGTCTCGGATAAAGTAAATTGGACAATGATACTGTTTTGGACAAATACACGGTACGCGACCACCATAAATATAACCATCTGTACTGGGTGTTTCAATATAACAAAAGTCGTCTATTTTACATTGAGGCTGTATAAAGGAAAATAAGCAAACAAAATGTATTCTTAACATAATAACTGACGAACATTTATCCGAGTAAATTAGTAAATAACTTGGTTTCGTTTCTTGGGCAAGACGTGTATGTCCCTTCGGTTTCGGGGTGACTGTAACCGAAGACAAGATGTAACTTTCTCAAACAGTTTAGTACAAAATCTTAAAATAAAACTGGAACAAAACTCGCGAAAATAAAAGCTGTTCGTAGGTGTTTACGTGAATAGAAATAACAATATTAGTTGGTTGGAGGCAATTGGCAGGAAGCATTGGCTACACCTACGTTTCGTGCTAGTTGGCACTCACCAGTCAGCAAGGCGTATCTGCAACCGTGAAGGAACTCATTTCCCTTTTGAGTTTCGAACCTATGTCACCCAGTGGTGCAGTCAGAGACGTTACCACTGAGTTATACGGGCTCGCGATTGACCTCCTGTTTGACTGTATTAGATACCTTTGTGGTGGTGTGATACAGAAAATAGTTTCCAATGAAAAATTATTCTCACAGTAAGAATCATTGTATTTTTTGGTGTCAACATCTGAATACTATTCCCATATTTCAATACTGCATTAGCAACAGAATATTATATGTATTTGAACATTCTATTTCATGTCGCTAAATTTAGACCAATATCAGTGATTGGTTAAAGTCTATCACACAAGTTTGCAATGAAGCCATAATTTTACGTGTCTCGCCAACACCGTTCATTGTCAGTTAATAATGTTATATCTAATGCACATATGTGATATGATAAAATTCAGTCTATGTCAAACAAATGACTAGACACATGACACTAGTTAGTGCCCAATCAAAGTACCCATTACTGTCCCACAGGAGGTTAATTGCGATTTCAAATAGTTAAGTGGTCACGTCTCTGACTGTACTACAGGGTGACACGGGTTTGAACATCAGGAGGAACATAAGTTCCTTCAAGGTTGCAGATACACCTCGTTTACTGATGAGTCCCAACAAGCCCAAAATCTAGGTCAATGCTTCCTGTCAATTGCCTCTAACCATATAATATCAACAATTCAAAGTGCACCATGATCGCAAGCCACCTAGAATAGTGGCCAAGTCACAAACGTGACTGACAGAATTTAGTCTACACCAAACAGAGGACTGGATACATCACACTAGTTAGAAACTAGTGTCTAATCAAAGAATAGTAGAGTAAATACCACAACACACTTTCAAGCATTTAAAATAATTTAATTAAACACCTTCAAAGCAGCCAAACTTAACATCGGTAGCCAAATGCCTCGTTATCTAATTAGTGACACGCATGAATGAATTAAAGAGATTCCCGCTGTCCCTATCTACTATCAAGCGAAACCACAGCCAAGGGAATAGGCATGGTAGAATTAGCGGGGAAAAAAGACCCTGTTGAGCTTGACTCTAGTCTGACTTTGTGAGGAAATATTATGGATGTAGAATAGGTGGGAGCTAGATGCTTCGGCGCCTGGTGTCAGTGAAATACCACCGCTGTCATTGTTTGTTTACTTATTCAGTGAGACAGGAACGAAGTGGTATTTTGGTGTGAAGCACATGCTGGCATACCTGGTCTAACGCTGCGTGTGTTGGTGTCTAGGTCATATCAGATGAATCGTGGTGCAGATTGCAGTGTCTGAGTCTTGATGTGATGTGCAACCCGTTCTGAAGACCACGTTAGGCGGGGAGTTTCACTGGAGTGGTACATCTGTCAAATGGTAACGCAGGTTTCCTATGGTGAGCTCAGTCAGGAAAGAAACCTGACGTAAAGTAAAAGGACATCGGATATTATTACAACATTCCTCATATTAAGTACTACAAAATGAAATGGTACTAACTGCCTGAGGAGATTCAAATCATAACTGACTGCCACCATTTTATCTATTGAAGTATATTGAAAAGAAAGCACAGTAAGTTTGTTTTGCTACAGTTCATAAACTCACCCAAACAAAATATATATTCCACAAAAGGTTTTAATCAGCCGTTACATTCTATGAGCTATCCAATGTAACTAAATGAGCAAGTTAAAACCATTTGATTAAATTTTGAAGAATCAAATGGTCATCACTTATCCGAGATATTCCAGTTCCATTCGTCTTCTGAAGATAGGAATACACGCAAGCGAAGTTATCTAAAATCCTCCTCAATGTTTTCCAATTAGTATTTTTCAGAGTGCACTGGTCAGAATAATTTTGGCAATAAATTCGTAATCCTATAAATTCTAACAGTGGCCTAGTTGGTAGTGCTTTGTACACGGAGTGAAGTGTGTTTCGTCCGAGTGAAATTACCTTCATTCGCTGGGGAGCAGGATTCTACTGCTGTGACGGTAGAACATGGTAGTATTCGGTAGTAGAATGTGTATTTGAGAGGAACGATATACAGGTATTGCAAAATGCACAAACTTTGTATTGAAATTTCCATCTGTCTTTCTGTTGTTCCTTCCATATTGTTTCACTGGGATCTTTCATTCCTCCTCTTCGTAATCAGTGATCAGCTACCGAAAAATCTTGCAGATGCTATCACACACTATACTACTCACAAAATCTTGTCAGTAGCATACAACACTTCGCTAGCCACCACTCAACAGGAAAATTAGAATTTATACCTACTCAACTTACGAAGTTATCACTTGTAGTGACGAATTCTATCCTATTTCCTTAAGATTTCAGTACATAATTCTTCGAAAGTAATACTATATTAAATGGAACAATCGTTACTACCAGGTAGTAGTCGACTGCCGGTATCCAGTTTCATGTACACATAAAAACCAAAGACATTTGAAAGTGAGATAAGGCCAAATCCACCAGTTTCTTAGGCAATGTCATATTCATTACGAAGTAGAAAACAGAAAACTTTTAAATGAAAACCAAATAAGTCGCTGCAAGGATATGATACTATGTGTGTCCTCGTTTAGATAGCAGGCCACGAAGTCAGGTAGCCGTTGTTGGCGAGATCCCTATCAACTTTAGCGTCCATATAAATCTGACCCGACATTTATAAAATATAAAAGAACCACCATCTAATCATATGAAAATGAATTAACATATGCGTAATTATCCTACACCACACCGTACGTCTTATAAAAACAAAGAAATGAATCATAACCAAGATAGAAAACAGTACATTTTCACTATGATGGAACAGGATGACACTAATTTTGTCATCAGTTAATTCCTATTCAAGCTTAACTTTTCAGTAATATTAACGAGAAAATCTGATGAATTCAACTGATAGAATTCAGCTACTTAAAAAGACTATCAGTAATATAATTAATATATAAAAATTTCAGCGGACCACTTATCAGCATACCACACCACGTAACCATATTAACTATTCCGACCTCCGTTTAAACTTGATCACCATGAGAAGGAAACACAAAAATCTCAGTGTATGTGACATCTGTTGGGGCACACATGCATTCAAGCTATTTCAGAAAGTTTTCGGCACTTGGTATTATTAAGAACTAAATTTCAGGTCAATCTAATGGTTTAACTTAATTTGCATTTCCCACTGATTGATTATATTGGACCAAAATACTCGGTTTCTGCCAAAATGCCATTTCTCCCCTTCAATGGATGCTTCTTCGATGCCAGAAAATTAACATAATATTGATTTGACTGATGGTGTTGGCAGTGGAATCCAGAATGCACATTTTTCTTCTTATTTGTGACTATTCAACTGGATGTACCTGCACGTTGTTGTACAAAAAGTTGGCTCTCGTGCCCCGTTGGTCAGGCTGATAATGCCTTGGCGTTTAAAACGATGGGTTCTAGATTCCACTTTAAACAGGGAAACTGCCAGCCGCTTGAGATGCCGATACATTCGGCTGACGAGTCATAAAAGTTAAATATGACACACTCTTCTTAAAGATACTGGCTATGTGTCATGTCTTCTGTTAAATTATTCTTGCCATAAATGCATGAAACCTTTACATGTTGTTCTACGCTCAAAGAATATAGCTTTTATCTCACTAATTCAGCAAGAAATATAGTAACTTCAACATAAGCAACTTCTTGAATTTCACCAATAGTAAAAGTAAGTAACCAGATAGGAAATTATTCACCAATTCACCAGTTTAATAAAGGTTACCTTTTTATAGCAACTAGCCTACTAAACTAACTACTGCCTGTTTATCATGTACTGGACAGCTTGCTGCATGATTTAAGAGACCACTCACTCACTGGATTCTTATAGTCCAAATACAGGTTGTAGTTTGAGGAGGAATTTTCATCAAAATCCCGTTTCACAACAGAACAAAAAAGATATTCAACACGTGAATTATTTAACCTGTATGTTAAACTGATATCCACCTTTTGTCCAGTCAGCAATTGAGCCTCAGTATGCATAAAGACGGCTTCATGTAGTGTGGTCTGTTCACTCATCGTCTGATATTAGGGAAGTAATCAAACCTCTAACAGTGAAGGAACTTCTTCTGTCCTACTACTCAGCTATAAAACACAGCTCATGAAGTTTGAAATTTACAAAGAGTTCACCTGTTTAACGATTGTCACTGTGATAGCATTATTAAACTATGATGGAACCATCATATAAGTTGTGTCATGTATGCATTAACATACAGTAAAGTAGTTTGTACTAATCACTTCTGTGCGTCGGTAGCACAGCGGATAGGACTCTCACCGACCATGCACATGGTCCGGGGTTCGATCCCCTGCCGACGCACACCTGATATCAATGATCGGCCTGCAAAATTTGGGCTACCAATATCACATGCTGAAAATTCCATACTTGTACCAAAAGTACTGTGTGGTTTCAAGCTATAATCAAAATAAAATTAAAATAAATTATGTATACCTACCCACGTAACTTAGAAGATTATGCTTTGCCTCTATATGTTCTTAGCGTTAATGAAGACATCAATAGAACCAAGAATTATTATAGTATTTCATAGTATGTTTAGCTCAGAAAGCTTTGAAAACGATAGAAACTCATGTGAAAAAGAATGTACCGTCTAAATGTATTTAAATCCACTTACTTTTGTAGCACACGTCATGTGTATATAATTCCCACGAAATACACGATCCCCGAATTGAACACCTTTACTGTAACCATAACGTTCAACATCAGCTATGCCTAAACAACGACAATTGATACGATCAACCATAAGCCATGTTCCAATCTGTCGTAGTTCAAAGGCGATTTCACCTTCTTCATTAGTACAATAACGATGTCGTGCTTCATATATCCGATTACAAAAATGCGCTTGAAATTCATAATCACGCATATCTGAAGTCATACAAAAGTATTTTTTAAACAAAAGAAATGTGAACTGTGAATGCGAATAAAAGTATTGTATTTTAAAACTGTTATAATTTCAGTACTACTCAGTTTAGTAGTATCTCTAAGATTTTCACAGTAAACATATAGACATGTGTTCATCTAATAAGTAGAAACTAAAACAACCCCAACAAATCCTGGTATTAGTTGTACAAGCACGCCAGTGTTTTAACTAATCTTCTTTGACTTGTAAACCTCTAATGTACACTTTTCAAATATCGCTGCCTCAGCTGCCCCAGCCTATTTAATTTCACTAGTATGCCTTCTAAGTAGTGATGATTATTGATGAGTTCAGTCAATGGCAGTTATTCTAGAACAGTCAACTGAGCAGCCCACCCATTCTTAGTACTCTTAAGCTATTTTGAATTGTAGATTTATGTAACATTGTCAGTAACAAATTTGAATTTCATACATGAATCCCCCTCCAGAAAATTAAGACAGAGATTGAACAAAGATTGGTACAGAGTAACATGGATCTATTTTGTTCCATTGGTTCTCGTCATTTGCGTACAACAACAATTAATAAAACAAGTTTTAATACAGTTTTAACATAAATTTTGTTTGTCGTCAAGAATCAGTCCTGCAGAAAGAATTGTTGTGACGAAGTCGTAGTGAAACAAAACACAAGGATGATAAGGTCATCTTAAATTATTACTGCTATACATATATATTTTATTCCCTTGGGTTCCAAGTGGAACACAGGGCTCCAACAACACATCTCCACTTTCTTCTATTTTCTGCTGTCCTCTTCAGCTGGCCAGCTACATGACTGCCTATTATCTCTCATCCCCTCCAACTCACACGATGTCCTCCATGTCACCCTGCTAGTGACTACCCAATCGTCGCTTCTCATTGGGATTCCACTCGGGTGATTGCCTGCATTGAGCGTGATGTCATTCGACGGCCTCCTGAATGTATGCCCAATCTATCTTCATATTCTCCGACATATTTGTTGCACCATCGGCTCTTGGTTGGTTTGTTGCACTGCAGAGTTTCTTGTTTCTTATTCTTTCTGGTCTGCCATTTGGTCGTCATCATGCAGCCAGTGAAGGGAGCTTTTGATAAAGGCCTGCTGCTGTAGCTTGGGAATGCTCTTTGTGACACGCCAGGTTTCTGACACGTACAGAAGTACCGATTTCACTTCAGTGTTGAAAATCCGAATCTTGTTCTTTGTGCTGAGTTAGTGCAGAATATTTCCAAACTGGTTTCAGATTGATGAAGACGTATCTTGCCTTTCAGATCTATACTGGCTTTGACATCTTCATCCGTGCGGTAGGCCTGTGGCTGGAATGATGTTTCCTAGATAAGTGAACGAAGTAACCTCTATCAAATCTCTCTCACTGATATATATACATATATTTGTTTTCAGGGTGGTGGTAAATCACTGATGATTGCGTAACTAATGATAATTAATTACGCTGATTACAACTAAAGGTCGAAAAATCAAACCTGGATGCTCAGGAGGTCGACTAGCAAAAGTAATGATGTAATACAGTGAGTGGAAGTCAAAGGACAGAAAATTAATTCTTACATTAAAATCACTGAAGAAATGGAAGGGAAGACAAAGTGATGAGGGAGAGTTACCAGGATTAAGTAAAGTTTCCTGATGAATTTCTTGTGAACACATAGTTCAGGTTTTAACCGTTTTATTACGATAACCTCAGTAAACAGGAGAAGACTTAGGCAGTTTTATCTCTTAATTATTTTGAATGCTCCTAACACATCTACTAAGTGTCCTGTGTCTATCAGGTGTTTGCGAATTGATGCGTTTAAACTATTCTATCTCTTTGATTCCATATACGTATATCACTAATAATTTAAGTTAACCTTATTATCCTTATGTTCCGTTTCATTATGATTTTTTTAAATGATCTTTCCTTACTGCAGGACTGATTCATTCATTTTTTGTATGTTGGGGAAGTTGCATCAGCCAGCTCCAGCGGGTTGATAGCTGAAGAAATCTCATCACGGATACAGAAGACTCGTGTGGGACTTGCCAACCAGTATCATCTATGGCGTAGACGTGATATCTTGTTCACTATTGGCCAAATGACGTGTGCACTGCTCTTCGGTATGCTTCGTCTTCCTTTATAGCAGTCAGATATGGCCATTGAAAGTGGATGAAGTGAAAAGATTCGCTGGCTGTCTTTAATCACACTTGTCTGCGTTCTGTCTTTCGTGTTAAGCAGTATAATAGGATGAGTAAAATTAAGGTTAGGCCTCGAGTGCTAGGTAAGGCGGAAAATGAATTGATGAGGTTTTGAAGTTACATCGGTTGAGATGATCGGGACATTTGATACACATGCATGTCTAGCCATCGCCTTCCTTGACAACAAGCAATGTTAGCCTACATAGGTCCGATGAGTTTGGAAAAGAGCTAGTGGTGGTTAAACGAAAACATGGTTTCATCGTTCAATTAAATCCACAACAGTTAGTTTTAGCCAGTCATTTAGGGAAGTGTAGACCTCTTGGCTGGCTTGGGTCCTCGGGATGGTAAAAAACAATGGTTGAAAACAATCAGTGATATGGCCCAAAATTGTTCTCAGTGGCTAGTGCAGATGCATTCACTCTTTGTGATTTATGATGTCCAATAAAATTCGATTGTTCTTCCATATTACTATTCTTTTTCCCTTACACTTCTATTTATGATCTATCTCTTTGGAATCTCTTTTCACTCTCTTCTTTTGCATTGTGTGCTACATGGAGTGTGACAACTCGAACTGCTGCACATCTGTTCAAAAGTCTACGTTGAAGCTTGTCAGTCAGTCAGTATTTTGTTCGCAGCTAACGAGAACCAATGAAACAGAATAGATCCATGTTATTCTGTACCAATAATTGTTCTATCTCTGTTCAAAAATTTCAATACTTATCACTTCCATCAATATATTTACCTTATCCCTTTTTTCGCTAAGTACTCTTTACTTTTAGGTACCTTTATAATACAAATGAAATAACAAAAATAACAGTCTAATTAAGCATCATATGTATACTGTCATTACAGCTCACTGTCAAATTCTACAAGGATAGTTAACTCACCATCAGTCCCTATAAGCTTGAATGTTAATGATCTGACATCGTTTGTTGGAAGCCAAGTCAGTGGACAAGTTGTATAACCTGAGCAAACATGTCGTCGTTGTACAAATGGAGATAAAGAGTTGTAATATTTTGGCATATTGAAAAAACCACCACGTTCAAGCCATGCACATGGAGTTAATGACTGTCTCTATTTCAGATTAAATTATCAGTAAATATAAAAAAGGAAATCAAGTTTAAGTTCATTTCAAACATTCTCGTAACATTTTAAAAAGATAATGATAGTAATCAGAGCAGAAGGATTTGTAGTGATTCTGAATTAATTAATTTCAGTCACAAATAGGCAACTCTGATTGATGCTGATTGGTTGAATTCCAGCCCAAGTAGCTAAATGATCAACCAGCTTGATGTGATAATCCGAAGATTCCAGGTTCAATCCTTTGCGGTACCATGCATGGGTGAGTACTTCTATAGAGTCCCAAAAGAAGACGAAACAGGTGTTTAATAATGTAATTGATATCGGTGTGTGACGAAAACCTAACAGTTGAATTAATAATAGTATCAACTACCAATCGTGGTCGATAGATTCTGATTAATTCAGTTGGGACTAAAGAATTAAATCGATTACCACTCAACTGCCAATCTCTATACACAGATCAGCTTTACAGGAGAATGCTCATAAGTTCATATTTCGTCAAACTATGCGTTTCCTATGATTAAAAGTATATATTATTGATTAGTGCCAACAAGTATGCAACTTGAGTCCAAGAGTCCCTGTCAACTAGTCCCTCTCACCATCTACCTATAACAGTAATGACACCTAATACTCTCTCAGTAGGCATATTTATACAAGTAAAATTAAGACAGAATTATAATAATCTTAATATCATAATGTGTTTGATATTCAATTACTGTGATGGAGTTATGTAATCCCTCTTCTCATGACACTGCATAGATGGTACACATACAACAACCTGTTTTACTAGCAGTATACTATTACAAATTGAATTCACACAGCAGGATTATTTTTCGAATACAATTCCATTTAGTCGCCGAACGGTAAGCGGCAAGTTGGTTGTCCAAGGGTGACTTGGAGGAGACCATGTGAAAAGGAGATGAAAGGAGACGTGGAGCCAGGTGAAAACGTTTGCAGAGAACCGAACGCACTGGAGACGTGCGGCTGAAGCCCTATGTTCCTTTAGGAACTAAAGGAAACAATAATATATACAGTCACAGTTGTTTTGACATACACTATCACACACCACACCACCTACGCAAGATGAACTAAGTACTTGATTTCCAAAATAAAATATGCTAGTCAGGTGATTATTACATCTTACAGTGATTTGGCAAATGAATTTCACGACTTCTAGTTATTGACTTTTATTAAAATATGCATCATTTTCTATGTGTTGATTAGCAGAGATTCAATTAGTTTCAAGTAAGACTATGGATTAACATTATTTAGAGGATCACTGAAAACCAGGAAGTACTAGGCAGATGGTTTGTTGTGTTTAGTACTCTTCAGAAGTATGCTTCCAAATAACCTAACTGACGATGGAATTCACAGTTACTGAGTTACATGGTGAGCCCACTGACCATTCAGTCTCTGAGGAGAGAAACTCAGTGTTCAGTGAACTCTAACTTTTATCAGTCCACAGTCTAAAACGTTGCTGCCAGCCAATATCATTGGCGAATATGTAACCTGAACATAACTTCTCAATAGAACTTTAAGCAGTTTCATCTTGTAATCAGTCACTAATGAACATAAGGTTAATTTTCAAGTGTAAGTTTGCAGGGATTCGATTAGTTTCAAGTTGAGGAATATTTGAAAGGACTGAGTTATTCAGCTCAATGGATTACCAAGAGAGCTAGCTGTCTTACAACCATCTTCAATTCATTCGGACTTAGAACACTGAAAATATAATTTACTGCATCAATTGTTGACGCATCTCAACAGCTGACACATTCTCCTTTCAATAAAACTGTGACCAGATACTAAGTATTGGCTCCTCTTAAATTTTTAATAAATACTATGCAGCATTCAGTCGGCTATTGTTGTGTCTGAAGCCACATATATGCTTTAAAAATGCTATGACGGAGTGGTATTGTGTTGTGAGTTCGTCTAACTTAACCAGAATGCGCCCCTATAAAAGACACTATGATCAAATATCCCCTTTCCCTTACTGAAATAGACACAAAAGTCAGACTGGGAAAAATGACAACTTCTTTTATTAGACGAAATACATTGTACCTTATATTAACCAAATCCTCAGAAAGGTAAGCCATAAATAGATGAATCAAAACTATCCAGTAATGTTATATCATATTATTTCACGCATAAACCATAACTTCATAGTTAGCAAAGAAGTTTTCCGTCTTAACCCCTCTCTTCTCGACCAAAAGACAATTGTGAATTCTCTACCACCAGCACTCCATTATAACACATTTTAGTGACGCAATTATTCAGTTCAGTGCAAACAGTCCCATACTCTAGTACAGTCCAATATCATCCAGCATTATATCTAGTCATATTGGATAATGAGACAAACAGCGGGAAATGAGGAAACAGGCATAAAATGGACTCACACAAAAAACTTGGAGGATCTGGACTTCGCCGATGATATATGTCTGATTTCCCACAAACTGGAAGATATGCAAGCGAAAAGCAACAAGTTGGCAGAAGAAGCATCAAAGATAGGACTCCAGGTGAACATAGATAAAACAGAGGTGTTGAAGATTCCTGGGCAACACCAACAACAACAACAGACGACAAACAGCGTAAATGGGAGGAACCTGAAACAAACAACCTCTTTTACCTACCTGGGAAGCATCGTTTCAACTACAGGCGCAACTGACGAGGATATCAAAGCCAGAATCGGAAAAGCAAGACAGGCTTTCACTACTCTCAAGTCTGTGTGGAGGTCAACAACACTCACCATCAAAAATAAGATCCGGATTTTCAACTCCAATGTGAAGTCAGTGCTACTATACGGATCAGAGACTTGCACTGCGCATCATAATGAGCATCTCAAACAAACTACAGACCTTCATTAACAGTTGTCTCCGCTCAATACTCAAGATCAGATGGCTGGCCAGAAAAGATCAGCAAAGGAGATCTCTGGCAATGAGCGAACCAACTCAACAGGAACCGATTGTGAAACAGATAGGCAGGAAGAAATGGAGATGAATTGGCTGGCCATACTCTGAGGAAACCATCAAGTGACATCACTAGACAAGCCCTTGAGTGGAAACCGAAAGGGAAGCAGCGAGTTGGTCGTCAGTGCAAGGGTGACTTGGAGGAGGTCATGTGAAGAGGAGATGAAAACGTGTGGACAGACTTGGAGCCAGGTGAAAACTCTAGCAGAGAACCGAACGCAATGGAGACGCACGACTGAAGCCCTATGTTCCTCTAGGAATTAAAGGAAACAATAATTAATTAAATCTAGTCATATTAATATAAGACGTAGTATTTAATCATGTCCTTCCATCCTGAGCAAGTCCAGTTACTGTTAAAATAGCAACAGGAGTAGTATGAAGCCTTTACAAGTTTAGCTGATAGAAATACTGGTCAATAAATTATTGATCCTGTTGTTCAGTCAGCCACAGAAGTACGGAACAATTTATTAATTCATGCATCACTTGCACAGTTTGGTGCACATAAAACCATGAAAATTGACCTTAAAAATCCCACTGAGAATCTGGATTCCATTAATGTATCGAATTCTAGTGAAGACACTATTTGTGGAAAAAATTAGGAAACAAGATCAACTAAAGTGTAGAGATTTTCACTCCAGTTTCTTTTATCTCAGAAGGAATGAAAGAATTTTTTATGCAAACACCTTTATGGTATTTTACAAGAAAAGTTTCACAAAGACATCAGTTACAGCCTGAAAAGTGCATCAAATCTTCTCTTGTTGCAGTCCCAGAATTCCACTCAAAAAAACCTTCGTCAAAAATTAGATGAAGCACTTTTAGCAAAAGCAGAAAACATTTGTTTCCAAACAAGACTACAGACTGAAGAAAAATTCCTCCTGAAAAATGAGGTTTATTCACTAGTACATCCTATGAGTACACTTCTACCAAAATTTTTTTCCTTAACATTCCCAGTGGAACATAGGTCTTCAAGCTAGAGTCTTGAAGTTTCTGTAGCAGTGTTTATTTTTACGGGATGCGGTTGCTAGCCTCATGTCCAACCTTTCCTCTTCACCAGCATTATTTCTGACTTAGCGAGGTAAAGGAATGCGTCCACCGGGGATGGAACCTCGGTCCATGTGTGTGGTCGACGAGCGTCCGACGCACTCTACCAAAATTTAATGATAAATATCAAACCATGAGACACTTTTAAAAACTCTAGTACTCAGGAATTCTCGAATTCTTCTGACTTAAGAAATACGATATTTGTAATAACACTGAGTAGACAACAACTCAGTGATTCAGTTGACTTCGTTATAGATGTTCAGAGTTTCAACTTTTATAAATCTAAAAGTAATAAGGTATTATAAGCATGTAATCTATAATGAATTTATGAATAAGAGTACAAAAGACTGAAAATGATATTACTTGGTGATAAATACTGTCTTAATGCAGGGATTTCATAGGAAAACAGCAAAAGTTTTGTACGAAACTAAGCTTGCAACGTTTACTGTACTCATCATCGATAGCTCAGTTCTTGCCGCCTGCATTGTAAAATTCCAGTCATTCTCTTATCCACGTTTACATCAATTAGAGAGGCTGTTGGGACACCTAGGAGTAGTGGACAGCTGTTTCGTCCCGGTTGTCATCAGTACGTACCCACCGGGTTTCAAACCCATGGCCCTCTGGTTTTGAAGTGGGCTGGTAGACCATCCAGCCACTGAGATCCAATCCAACCGTCTATGAATTCTAAATTCTGGAGATTCACGATATATATATATTATGTATATTTTGCAACCACCAGCCAACATCACAGACAAAAACTGTCCTCTGACATGAATTGGTGAACCCCGCTGGTTACGACTTCTAGCTGGAACCCTAGACGACTTCCTGCATTTAGCCAGTAGCTAGTGAACATCAGATTAATTATCAGGCGTTGGTTTGCAGTGATATGGACCAGGTACACTAATCACCTATGACACTGGCTGACCATAAAATTTAGCTATCACACCATGACACTTTTCAGTGTAAGTGCAAATTGACATTCACTCCCAT